TCAGACACAGGGGAAGCTTCTAGCAGCTTCTCACAGAAGCCACCCCTGTAGCCCCCCCCGCTACCAAAACCTTGCCACGCAAAACCAACACAAATGTACATAGCTATCTAGATTTTCAGCTTGTTCCTTAAATATCTGTATTTGTTGAATCTTAATCAGTATAGGTAGTCTGATGGTATAAGTGTAAATAAAAATCATATGGGCATTTTGTGTGTCATGTAGAAATATATATTAAATGACAGTTAACTGCTGTGACTCTTAACATACAAATTAACACTGTTGACTTGGAATAGACAGTGTTCTTGCTTTTGGTGAAGAAACTGCCATAGTGTGGGAGTTTTGTTTATGGGGAGGGAAAGTAGAAAAGCAGAAAAGCCTCATTCTCTAAAATGATGGTTTACAAAGAAATTATAAGACCCATAATAAATTCTCTAAAACAAATTATGATAGGCAGTTCCTTTTAAGTAATTATTCTTGCCATACTGTGACATTGTTACTTCTGTATATATCTTTAAAATCCAGATACTAAGGTCAAATCTTGCATAGTTGAATCTTACCCACAGGCTTCTTTCTAGGGGACAACTGACAGCTTGGTCATTGCTGTTCATTACCCCTGTTCTTCTAGGAGGATATAATAATTTATGATTCTGATATCCTTCCCTGGAGGCTCAACAGACTGTCCCAGCTTAAGCAGTGCCAGTAGATTTAATTCATCTCCCTGCATGAGCTTATTGAATCATTTACAAATTTTTCAGGCCTTTGTTTCCTACTTGGGCAGGTGCATCACAGCATCCACCAGGAAGCAGAGATGCTAATTTCATGTGCTCTGCGTGCGGCTTGAACCTTATGCTATTGCAGTTGGCAAAGTGAAATTAAATGGGATTTTTCTTTTGTTGGGGAGAAAAAGAAGTGAAGTGTTATGGACCAAAAACAAGCTTTAATTTTGATTTCTCAAGGTTTGTGTTTGGGATGCAGAGCTACGGGAACTTCGAGCCGAGTGTTATATAAAGGAAGGGGAACCAAGCAAAGCCATTAGTGACTTGAAAGCTGCTGCCAAATTAAAGAATGATAATACTGAAGCCTTCTATAAAATCAGCAGAATATATTACCAGCTGGGGGACCATGAATTATCACTCAGGTAATTTTACTGTTTGCTGTAATCATTATAATTGAGACAAAAAATGTGATGATATAGGTCATGATAACCTGTGAAATACCTATGTTGTCTGGTTTTTGGATGTAGTAGCAACTCTGGTCTGGGTTGGATAAAGGAAGCTTCTTTCCAGAAGCTAAGAACTGGCAGTGAAGGCACCATGTTTATTCTTGGCAGACCAGCCATCGATGATTCCTAGCATCTTGTTTACTTAAATAGAAGCCGTAGCACAGGGCTGTCAGAGTTGTTTACATTTACTGTCTTTATTGTATTTCTTCACCCTAGAAGAAAGTGCTTCTCTACACTTGCTTTGGTGGAGCCTTTTTTTTTTTAACCTTGAACCTCCGTTCAAGTTAAGTTACAATGCAAATAAAAAAAAAATTGTTAAGTCTTAGGGCTAAATTCTTATTTTCAAGAGTGGAAACAAAAGGTTACAAGCTTAAGAATAAATAAAAAGTACAGGAGCATCCAAGTATGAGGAGCTGGGGCTCCAGACCTGTCAGTCTTTCATTCTTGCAGATAGTGTCTAGTATTTTGGATGTTTTTTTGATAACGCTCTACCCTTTTATTTATATTCAGTTAAGTTTAAGGTGTTATTCTCATATGTCCTTAGTCAGTCCTGTAGATAAGTGCCCTTGCCCAATCCAGACTGTTAACTTCATACTCTGTGCTCAGCTGGACAGATGGTATAATCCTTCTTGCACAAAAATGGTTTCTATGCAGCTCACCATCTGAGATGCCTTACCTGCATCTCCAAAGTCCTTCCAACATGATTCTGCCCCAGAATCTCTTCAGTAAAAGGTGAAGGGAATTCCAAAAGCCTGAGTTTCTTGGCAATGTATGACAAAGGCTGGTGGATGGAAACTGCGTGTGATTACCACTGCAAAAATTAATTTTATAGCTGGGCAAAAGTAAACACCAAATAACTGATTAGTTTGCATTAGAGATCCCCTTTCTAGAGTATACTTAATTTCTGGAGCTCATAGGTCACTTCTGGTAGCTGACCATCACTTAGCCTAGTGATTTCAAGAGTAGGTGGTTTGGGGTTTTTTTGTTTGAAATCCACACACAGACTTCCTCTGTTAATAACCAAATCTTAAGATTTTTATAAATACAATTGAGAGAGCTGTTGAAGAACAGAATGGTATCAGAATGAAGGAATGAGGCTCTCTTTATTCTTCTCTGGTACTATGGATTTCTTGCATATAAGATGTACTAGGAGTCCTATAGCTCTTGGACTTGCTGGGTGATTAATCTTGTCCTTCGTCTAGCTTCATCATCTCCTTTACAGGCTTAATGATTTTCAAATAATAGATATTTCAGTCTGTGCTTAGGAAAAAAATAAGATTTTTGCGGTCTCTTTCTGAAAATACCACATTGGTTGTGCTATGATGACTCTATATGATACTTAACTTTTATTTCTTCATAAGATTGCATTCTGGAGGTTAGTTGTTTGGGTTTTTTAAGACTTTTGACTATTTTAAGAGGTATCTGCCCTAATCAAAGTCTGATTAAACAGTCTTCACAGTGAAAAGTCAGGCTCAGGCTTGGCTTATATTCCATCAAGGGGGGGTTTGGGTTTTACTTGAGCTTTGTCCATTTCAGGCAGCATAAAATATACTTCTACATAGGTATTTTGTAGTATAGCTGAGTTAAATATACAGGAAAACTACAAACAATTGTATCTGGTAATTGCTGAATATAATTTCTTTCCCAGGGTATATTTTTCTTCTGCTGTTTAGTCAGTTGTTAATGTAACATTTCTCAATCTTTGCATATTTGGCAATGCAAAATAATTAAAAATAAAACCAGACAAATATCCCTGTATTTTCTAGAAGACTTTTTTTCCTCTCACTCTAAATTAATTTTTGGATGAAGGGAGAGATTGTCTGAAGAAGTCAGCTGTTGTTCTGGACAGCTTATAAGTGCTGCATTGTGTCTCTAAATGACATTTCATAATGTGTGGTGACATCTTTCTGGTTCGTTTTGTTTTGGCTTTTTTCCCTCGCTACCTCCCTGTGAAAAGTGAAGTCCGAGAATGTCTGAAACTAGACCAAGACCATAAGCAATGCTTCTCTCTCTATAAGCAAGTAAAGAAACTCAATAAGCAGATCGAGTCAGCAGAGGAATTCATCAGAGAAGGCAGGTAAGTGTTCACTGCTATATTTTAAAAAAAAAAAAAAAAAAAATTACTACTAAGGTGCCCACCAATTATCAATTGAGGAGTTAAGTGATGCTTTTTGCATCTGTCAGTTGAAGTGGATAACTGAGCACAGCTCTCAAATTACAGTTAAAATAAATATTGACTTACATAGTGACAATCCTATCCTGATTCCTTCTGATGTCACTGTCTTCTCTTTGCATATTTGACTTCTTTGTAGAGCAGGTAGTAAGACCAAGATAGGGATAATATTTGTCAGCTCTTGCATATTATTACTTGGCACTGGTGAGGCCATACGTGAAGTGCTGGGCTCCCCAGTAGAAGAGATGAGGCTACTGAGAGATAAAGTCCAAACAAAGTGCCACTAAGATGATGGAGGGCCTGGAGCATCTCTCCTGTGAGGAAAGGCTGAGAAAGCTGGGACTGTTCCCCCTGAGAATTCTGTGCTACACGGTAATCTCAGCAATGTATAGAAATATGTGAAGGGAGGATGCAAAGAGGCTCCTTTCAGTGAAGCCCAGTGACAGGACCAGGGGCAATGGGCACAAACTGAAACAGGAAATACCATTTGAACACAAGGAAAAGCTACCCACTTCCCCTTGTTTCCACTTGTTCAGGTTGCCCAGAGAGGCTGTGGAGTCTCCCCACTTTGGAGATACTAAAAATCCGTCTGGATACGGTCCTGGGCAATCTGCTGTCGGTGGCCCTGCTTGAGCAGGGCGGTTGGACCAGATGACCTCCAGAAGTCCCTTCCAACCTCACCTATTCTGTGATTAAAGGACCACATCTTTAGACTAAAACCACCTAGTAACTCTGCAGTGCCGTGATAGCAAAAGTGAATCTGACTGGGCTTCTTTTATGCACCCTGTTAAATGATAGACAATTCCTCTGTATTCTTCTACTTCTTGCTTTATTTCAGTTTTACGCGTTCCCAAGCACACGACATCCAAATGTAAGGACCCCTAACAAGTGATTAAACATTGTCAAGGTGACTTTTTAAAATGAAGTACATCAGGAATATGAATCAGCACAACTGAAGACAGTTTTATTAAGTCAGCAGTCCGTTTGAACTCTTTTCACTCTAGTCTTCTATTTAATCCAGTATCAGCACATTTTCAGGGAGTCTTCTGAGAGTTTAAATTTCTCCTAGCTTGTAGCAACCCATGGGTTCAATCACACGCTTGCAATTTTAGGTGAATATTCTAACCTATTTCTTACTCAGACCATGGAACTTGAGCAGCTTGGAAACCTTCACAGCAAAAATACCTTTCACTGTTTGACTTGCTTAGAAGAAGGAAGGGAGAAAACAACTGCCCGATTCAAGCTGGCATAAAGAACGCTTTTTCTTTTTTTGTACCAATACATGCAAATAGTACAGTGTTCACAGCAAGATTCCAGACTTAGTCCATCTCAGATATCAGAGAAGGAGATGTGTTTTTCCAAGTGCAGAGTGGCGTGTTGGACAGGAGGCCAATCTAGAGACTGTCGTCTGTGCACAATGTGAGGGATGGTAGTTATCTTCGGCAAAAGCCTGCCAGGCATAGTGCCTGCTCTTCTGTGTCATTGCACTGAAAAGGGAATGAGGATGTAGTTCTTGAAGTGACTGAAAGATTTCTTCATACTTTTGTCTCACACCACACATTTAAGACTATTAAAGTTAAGGTACATTGCTAGAAGGATGTGAAAGTCTGTGAATTTTAGAATGTTAAAATTTGTAAAGAAATCACAACACCCTAGAACAGTTATTACATTTCATGATAATTATATTTATGATTTAAACAGGTATGAAGATGCTATCAATAAATATGATTCTGTAATGAAAACTGAGCCAGAAGTCCCAATTTATACTACTCGTGCCAAAGAAAGGATCTGCCACTGTTTATCAAAGGTAATTCTGCTTCTGTTTCCCTCTGTGACTTTATTTAACACAAAGAAAAAACAAAAAAAACCCCACCCCACAACTTACATGAATTTTGTTTTACTTTCTCCTCTCTAGAATCAGCAGGCTACAGAAGCCATAAAAGTTTGTACAGAAGTTCTGCAACTGGAACCAACCAATGTGAACGCCCTGAAAGACAGAGCAGAAGCTTATTTGCTGGAAGACCTGTATGAAGAAGGTACAGTTGCGTGCAGTTTGCACATAGTTTTTTTGTGGGTGTTTAAAATGCAATCAGTGTTTAAAAAAGTTTTAACATGCACTTTGATTCTACACTGTGTTGTTATCCCTAATCAGCACTGGTAGCTGCAGATTTATAAAAATATCTGCTGTTAATTATGTCTTGATTAGTATAAGTGGAACGTACTTGTTTTATCTACAGTGGAGTTGTCTTTACAACAACGGGCTATGTTCAGGATGTTTTATGAGACTGTACAGCTTAAATATATTTTGCATAATCAGCAATGTCAGACAATTGCATTTGGGGTAAAAGGTAATTAGGGTGATGTAAATCCATTTTAGGAATTCCATTTTAATGTCTTTAGGTGGCAGCATGAAACAATACTGTTCTGTCCCTTAGCATATGTTGAGGGCAGAGAAAGGTAACAGCCATTGCTTCAATGCCCTGGGTCTCTGTAGTGCTGCTAATGGCAGTAAACTGATTCTACTCCTGAGGCTGCATTTTCCATATGGGGTTTCCATAAAATGCATACTGTTACATGGTCCTATCTACAGCCTTGGAAAGTAGGGACTGAGTAATGGCTGTCTCTGAGTACACCATTATGTTTTTACCTAGCTTCTTTAAGAATACTAAGTGCTAATGTACTATAAAAAATTTAATTTAGTGAATCTCATTTTCACAAGAAACCAGACTTCAGGAAATTTGGACAATCTGTCTGTTCCACCCCCGTGCTCAGGCATACAGCAGTTTTTGAAGCATTGAGGGAAAGGACTTGTAGGCTTTAAATCTGCAGAAAACTAGTTCCATTAATTTTAGTACTCATAGAATAGTTTTCCTTTTCTGTATTCTGGTACTGGATCTTTTGCTTTACAACTGAACAAAAAAAAATCTTTTCAATTTAAACATTCATGAAGGCAGCTGTTCTCATTAATAGCACACTCAGGGTTTTTTTTTTCTTTTTGAGAAATCAATCACTGATAGATGATATTGCTCATCTCTTGAAGTTCACTTCAAAAATAAGATACCTATTTGGTTCTTTTTTATACCATGTTTTCATTTGAGTCAAGGAGGGGTAAAGAGGACTGGTGTGGTTTCAGGCAGTCCTCTTCATTAGCCCTGTAGATTTTGTACCTCTGAAGAGACCTAGTTGTAGTCCCTCTTTGCTGAGGCTGGCAAGCTGCCTTCCTTATAAGAAAAAGAGTGGAAGACAACAGCATTTTGTAGAACTGATAACATTCGTATAATGGGATTGCTTAAAAAGAAAGAAACAAACAAACCAAAACCCACCACCAAAGTGTGAGGGGAAAAAATTGCCATCTTTTGATTCTTTAGAACTGCAGTGTCAACCTGAAAATGAGGCTTAGGAAGATTTCACAGTGATGAGGTCACCTCTGGACATTTCTCATCTTTTTCTGTACTTCAGTACAGTGGAAGTAAGCTCAGTCAGCATTGGGAAAAGTAGATTTATAAATGAATAAAAACGCCTCCACTTTCCTAAAAATAGTTAAGGGTACAGAATACAAATCTACGTAGATTACGGATTGCACAAAGGTTTATGATTTAAGAGAAAAGAGTATCAGCAAAAGGAGAACCCAAAGAAAATTTAAGATTATTTTTTCCCATCAAGGTGTATGAATCTTCAGCTTAGAGGAGAGGGTACAGAGAGGGGCAGGCCAAACAGGCCCTGCTGTTAGTTCTCTTAGACGTACTTTTCACTTCTTACTAGTGGACAAAATTGATATGTGTGTTTTTCTGAAATTGATGAATCTCAAATTGAATTTTTCTGACATTATCTTGTATTAAATCCTTATCTATTTCTGGTTCCTCTAGGGTGAGAGAATCTGGCAACTCTTGCAAATTAGAGGGGAAAAAACGTTTTGTAACAAGGTCCTGCACAAATGCACAGAGCCAACTTGGTCTTGTGCTGGAGCAGATGCTTCCTTATTACAGGATATAAGGAAACACAGAGATGACACACCTTGGATCTGGGAGAGCTTATTTCCTGGGCTGGAGCCTGCTGGGCTTGGCCTAGCCTGGTTCTAGAGTGGGCAGCCATTCTAGAGTAGAAGCACATTCCTCCAAATCTCTGTTGTTTAGCACATCCCCTGCCTTCCTCCTGCCCTTGACAGCAGTGAGATGGTTGTAGTTACACTCTGCCTTCCAGCAGAGCCTACATAAACAGTATTATAGTCCATTAATGTTAGTCTGCCTGAAGGTGTCTTCACTTACCCTTCAGTTTTAATGGCTATAAAATAATGGCTGACTTCTCTCTGCTGTAGAGAACAGTAAAGGAATTAAAATTGTAGTCCCATATTTAAAGGGGCAAACTGATTCTCGTTCTTCCCTCAACAAAATTTCAAGCTGGAGGCACCTATTTTCCTGTTTAAAGACAGGAAATTTCAAAGTACTTGTAATTCAGAACTTTGAAGGCGATTACTGTTAGATGTTTAAGATGCACTTCAGTATGTATAGCTGAATTCTGATCCCCATCAAATGGTTTTAATTACTTTATAATCACATGGGATCCAGGGCTTGTCTACAGAGACAGATGTGTAATGACTCTCTTTCTGGCTTACCTCATAAGTACAGGAGTCTGTCTGAAGTGTACAGCACAAGTTTTGTCGAAGAAAAAAAAACACTTTTCTGTTTGGTATTTTGGTCAGGACATCCTTTTTTCTTTTTTTTTCTTTTTTGTTTCTGTTGTCTTTTTTCTCCCCTCCCTACTACTGTAGAAGAAACAGTCCTTATTTCAGTAAGAGCATAATTGGTTCAGTTATTCCTCTAACAGAGTTGGCACAGACATAGGTCGTCTGCAGGTACTTGATAGGAAATTAATTCTGCATGTGAAATAATGGCCAGTCTTGGTCACTCTGTTTTAAAGATGCAGGCAAGATAGGAAAGTCAGCTAGGTTGTTTAGAGGTACAATGCGATTACTATTTGAGAGGTTGTGAAGACTCTTGTGTTGAAAGAAGGAGAGTTAGATTTGACTAAAGTATTTATATTGAAAGTGATACTGGAAACTAGTGGTTCCTTTCATGTCGTGGGACAGGATGAAAGGAAGAAGGGATGCTCTCTGAAATAGCAGGCCAGTAAAAAGCAGCAGTGATTCTTGTGTTGGTTCGTGAAGTATTAGTGCTTTTGGAAATAGTGACTGAGAAGAATTGATTAAATATCTCACACGGCATAATGTGAATTAGTAATAAGTCTCCTGGTTTCGTAGCAAACTTCTTGTGGCCAGGAAGGTGTCATCCTGCTTCCAACCCTCACCCCTCAGGTGGGCAGAGCGATTAGATCTCTGAAAGAGGAAGATGGCTACACTGGAGAGTATCATCAAAATTGAAGTCTCTTCCAACTGAGAGAAAGTGCAAAATGTCCTTGCTGTCAGGTGTGCTGGGTGCATCCCCTTTGCGGTGTGCAGCACTAAAAAACACCTTCCCATGTAATTAATGGGATGCATTAATTGCTTGCAGCCTTTAAATAAGGGAGTTGATTTAAAGAGAAATCTAGTACTGTCCTTGCAAATACCTGACCCCTGAGCAGCTTGGTATCCAGCAGTGGTGCGTCCCGTTGGTGATGTGCTCAGTGAAGTTGAGCAATTTGATGTGTGTTTGGCAGAATGTTGTGGTGGGACCTCCCATTACTACATGAAGCAAATTAAGTGTTCTGGTGCTTAAAGCTATTGGAACAATAAAGCAGCGTAATGAAATCCCTGCATTTTCATTAATTTTATCAGGTTTGACAGCATATATTTGGCACGTGCATTAGTGTACGCTCCTGTTTGGTGGAGTTTTTTAGTGGCTGGACAAATTATTAAAAATATCAGTAGAAGCCAAAATGCTTTGTTCAAGCAGCAAATGATAGTGTGCAGTGGTGTGAAAATGAATAGAAATTTTGTTTTGTTTGTAATAGCATATGAAATTGTTGGGGCACTGGAAATACTTCTTGGATTTTTTTTTTCAATAACCAAAGCAAGATTGCAGTGGTATCAGATGTCTGGGTAATACAAATTCATTAGCACTTCCTGCTGTCTTGCTCAGAAACAGTGAAAAACAAATGTAACACCTGCTGAGAAATAGCATCTGCTTGAAAATAATCTGATGCAAGTACTTTGTCTAACTTGAGAAACCTAGGAGCCTTGGATCTGCAAATGAGACTTCGAGAATTATAACAGAGAAAGAAGAGCAGTCTCATTAAAGACTTCAACAGTTGCTTCCCTTGATAAATCTTGATATCAAAGAATATTTAAATTTGGTGTCTTAAGCATTCAGTTACCACTTACAATAATAATATAGTTTACTTAAAGAGGAAAAAAGTGTAGACCTGGAATTTTTTAAAAATTCTTGAATATGTTACAGCACCTCTCTTGCTTTCATTTCTGAGAAATGCAACTCTTGAAATGAAATAAAAGTGAGAGCATGCCTTTGGAAAAAAAAAAACCAAAACCCTTAAAATATAACTCTCTCCAAATTATGCATGAACTTACTGGTAATCTGAAATCCATCTTTATTGTCATAAAGGGGAAGAGGCTTTCTATCATGTTGATTGAGTGCGGACTGTGGGAGAAGAAGGAATGTTAATCTAAAGACTCTGTGTAATGCATCCTTCAGTTGAACAGTGACGTATGGGACTAACATTGTGCAGTGGGCTCTTCAAATACTAGTCACTGAAACTTGCTCCTTGACTTAAGTTTCGTCCCAGTCCTCTAAGCTTGTTATGTTCATCCATGTGACTGTCGTAACATCTAGAGAGTGTTCTGACCTGCCGCTAGTAACCTCCCTTCTCCTTCCTTTCTAAAAAGTGTGATGTACCTAAAGAAAGAAACTTACCTAATTTGTACATGAAAATTCATTTCCTCCAAGGTTTTTTTTATTAAAAAAAAAAAAAACCCAAACCGAAACAAACATGGCAAGTTGAAATAAATGTTTTGCAGTTTATATATGGTAATAGCAAAGGTTCAGTTTTGATGAGTGGTTGAGTTCTTTAAATTGAAGTTTGTGAAGAGTTGAGTAATCTTTTTTTTCATTCACTTTTTCATTAAAGCTATTAAAGACTATGAGACTGCTCAAGCCAATAGTGAAAATGACCAGCAGATTCGGGAGGGGCTAGAACGTGCCCAGAGGATGCTGAAGCAATCACAGAAGAGGGATTACTATAAAATCTTAGGAGTAAAAAGGTGAGATATCAATATCTGACATGATGATGTGAAAGTTGGTTATTAAACCAGTATATCTAGGGCTGATCACTTGAATTTATGTTCTGCTGAGAGTTTGTTTTTGTTCCTGTATCTTGCTACCTTCAGTTCCCTACTGTACTAGTTTAGCAGTGTTCAGCTTTTAAGTAGCATGTGTTTACAGTTCCTTTAGCAAGAATGAAAAAAAACAACATCGGGAAGGAAGGAAATAAATCCCTTGGCAAGAAATCCTTAGTGTAGATGATAGTCAGGTGAACGAATTAGGGAAGAAATGAAGACTGGAAAGAATTAGTGAAAGCAAGAAAAAATAAAATTGTGGCAGATAGTATGATAGATTGGAAAAGTTTGAAAGGACTAATTGAAAGGTATCTAAAATGCTTCTGCCATTAACTCTGAGAAACTTAACGACTTCACTTTCTCATAAAGACCACACAAATGTCCAATTCTGAACTAGTATTGGTCATCCTTCCAATTGTGAATTAATTTGATCTCTAATCCTTGTGGGTTTTGTTACTCACCTGGTTGTAAATTCTTCAGACCTTATAATTTTCCTGATGCCCTTAATTAGTCTCTGTGTTTAAAGTAAACCTGTAGATTCACCAGTGTGGCTTATGAACAATTAGAAAACTTTGTTATCTATGATTTTATCCCTCCAGAAATGCTCGAAAGCAAGAAATCATAAAAGCTTACAGAAAGCTGGCATCCCAGTGGCACCCTGACAACTTCCAGAGTGAGGAAGAAAAGAAGAAAGCAGAGAAGAAATTCATCGATATAGCAGCTGCTAAAGAAGTCCTCACTGACCCAGGTAATGATTGTTCTTATGCAGTGACTTCATTTTTTAAATAACTTTTTTACAGTAATGTAAAAATGCAGCAAGTGTAAGTCATAACAAGCATCACAGCTTCCCTTTTTCTCTTTCTCCTCTTACCATCTTGAGAAGGCAGTGCGCTAACACTTGCATCTGGTCTGTTGCATGAAGTCGAATGTAAACCTGGAATTATTTGTTGCAATGACTTTTGTTTAAAGTCAAATAAAATTTATTATTTCAAAGGTCTCTCTTTAGGATATCATCTTGCAGAGATTTCCAGGATTGATTAGCTCTGGAGATGCTTACTTTAAGGTTGTGGTTAGCTCCTTCTGCCTAAAGTTCTATTCTGAACTACATTTAGATTAACAGTACCTGAAGTACTCCAGAGAAGCCCTCCAAATTGGCCCTTGCTGTGTGTATGAAAGCCTAGGTGCATTCTGCAAACTGATACTCTGCAAACAGAGCATTTCTCCAAGGGCAAGGAACTGAGTTGTAGGTTCCTGTTGGCCTGAGGGAGAGGATGGTCTGTGGCCAGGCTGCAGGGGCTGGCCCAGTCCCTAGGAGCAAGGAGCCCTGTCAGGTCTGACTGTCTGCTGATCAGCTCTGGGGGAGGGGAAAAAAGTGAAGAATGCAGTAACTCTCCTGGGAGCCCTGTGGTGTGGTGACTAGGAGATCTGATGTCTGTCTTGCAAGAGATGAACAGAAGAGCTTGGACCATTTAGTTTCAAGAATGTAATAAAAAAAATGGAGTGGGGTGGTTATCTTACCTCCTTTAAAAAAAAACAAAAACAAAAACAAAAAAACCCACACAAAAACCAAAACCCAAACCAACCCAAACAGCTCACCAAAAAATCCCCAACAACAAAAAAACCACAAACAAACAAAAAACCCAACCCCAAAACCCCTCAACCAGAGCAGTCTGCTAAGTTCTGTATGGTCACTGGAAAGAGAGAAGCACATAAAAGATGGTAGGTATCAGAGGCTCCCGTTCTTATCAACTGTTCAGGATCATCTAAGTGATAATTAGGCAGATGGACTCAGACTTTCTTGGGGGAAGGAGGGATCTGAGAGTGATTAACTGCATTACACACACTTCTGGTCAGAAGACCTTTTTCTGTGTTAATGTGATATTTGTTCCTAATGATGAACACAAATTAGGAGATTTATATACTGGAAGTGTTTGAGATGCTGCTTGCCCTGTCAACATCTGTAGGACGTGTTCATCTTTTTCATTGATGCTGTTTCTTATGTCATTCCTGTCAAATCAACTGGGCAGGAAAAGTAACACCGGTTGTGTTTGGCTTTTTTAATGCCACCTGTATTGCTTTCCATCTCTTCTTACTGCAGTGGCATTCTCCCCTTCCATCCAGATATTTTTCCCAGGTCATTTTCTGGCTCTAGTGACCATGTTGGTTATGTAAAGACAAATTATAAAGCCTGTGGACCTCTGAGTTGCTGAGCTTTGGTTTGCCAGCTTATTATCACAGGGCTCTTGTATACTTTGAGGCCATCTTCCACATTCTTTCCCCCAGCCAGTCTCATGATTCTCCCCTAATTAATTCCTTTGCTTCCCTTCTCGGCCTTGATAAAATGAGTGTCCTGAAAAAGTGCCAGGTGATCAGAAACCCTGTGGCACTTGCAGGCTGCTTGAAAGTTATATGCGGGTGTGACAGAGCGGTGGTACAGCTTGTGACTTGTCTGTGAGTCTTGGGGAAGGCTTTCAACTTTGTCCCTGCTGGACAAAACTACTTTAAAAAAACGCTTTCTACCTCCAAACTGCTGTACCCTGGAGAGCTCTCTGCCTGGATGGTGTTTGGAGAAGATTGAAAGAGTTTGGGGCTCTGCATGCTGACTTTCATTCTGTTGATGAATGATCAGTATTGGCAGGATACAGCATGGTCTGTCCTGGGGCCATCCTGAATGAGTGCAGCCATGAGAGAATAGGTACAATAAACTGAAATGTCCCAATTATTTGTGGGACGCAGTTGGTTAAAGTGCAACTGTCCTGTCCCTGTTGAAATTCATACCTGTCCGATTGGACAGCCAGATATTGTCTTGCTTTGTTTTAAACTAAATGACTTGTTTGAAGTTTTCTGTACAGTGTCTTCAGGGAGTTAGTCTCGTCTCCTCTGCCGGTCTTCTGGACAGCTTTTGAAAAACTCAAAGCAGTTAGGGTCTACAGATGCTGCCAATGCAAGTGATAACTGCAGCTCTCTGGCCTGGGGGTGTCTGAATTGGTTATTTGTCATCAGAGATGCTTGGTGTTACTGCCCTAACTGCTGTGCCATGTTTCCACTTTGGTTTTGTTTCCTTCAGAAATGAGGCGGAAGTTTGATGCGGGAGAGGACCCACTGGATGCGGAGAGTCAGCAGGGTGGGGGCAACCCTTTCCACAGGAACTGGAACACATGGCAAGGATTCAACCCCTTTGGTTCTGGAGGAGGACCATTTACATTCAAATTTCACTTCAGTTAGAGCCAAGACTGTTTCTGGTGGCTGCTGCTGTTTTCTACTTAATTCATTCAAAAATAAAAAGTCTCTCAGTTCAAGACCCAAAAATCTTAATTTCTGATGTTGTCCTTAACCCAGAGTCTTACTGCACTAGAAGAAAGCTCCTTCTTTCTTTTAGTATTCAGAGAGTTTGCTTTGTGATGAACTTGACACGCTCTTACTGGCTGGGGGGGGTTTGTTACTGGCTATGTATTTGTTGTGGGTGTGCAGGACATGTTTACTCCTATGGATGGAAAAAACAGTAAGAGGCTACTTAGGACAACACTTAAACATAAATTTTAGGACTCAAATATATGCTTAAAGGTAAAAATGCATGTAAATATTTTTCTGAATGGGGGCCTAATAAACGTGGAAAGGGTAGTTACAATAGTCTCTACGTTAACAAATTGTTAGTCGTCGTGCTCACAGAATGATCCATCCCTCGGTATTCTTAAAAGGAAACCCTAGCGCCCGCCTCCTGCGTGACTGTCACGGTGCCATAGGTAGGGCGCAGAGGCTGCGTACTCAATGGGTCTGAACAATTGCTCTGGAAGAAGGTCGCTTGTAACTAATTGTATTTGAAGATGTCGACTCATGTTATTGGCTAGCCTGAAATGAATTGGGATGATTTCCTTGGGCAGTAATTGTCAAATATGAAAGTTAAACAAAAAAACCCCACAAAAAACAAAACCCTGATGTTTTTAGAAAGACTTTTTCTGAATGTGATTTGGGATGTTTAGGTACTGTTTTTGAGTAGTTTGCACTTTAACAACATACCTGCTTGAGATTTGAGCAAAAAAATTGATGTGACATTTCCCCAACTATGCAGCAATTTGTTACTTCTCTGTACATGAACCCAGAACTGATACAGCTTGTGAGGTGAGTGTACTGTGGGCTGTTGGAATATGATATTAACTGTAGCCTTCCTCTGTAATACAACTGTGTTTATCCTGGGTGATGCAACAGTGAGTTAATACTATATGAAATTGTTTGAAATAATTTTGGTTTGTGTAACAGCCACACTACTGCAAAAACAACTGCCTGTGGGCAAAGAGAGGGACTAACTTTCCATTAGCCAAAAGTCTGATTTATTTTTTCTGTGTGCACGTACCTAAAATGGGTTTAATGTATTGATCGAACTGTGTGAAAGCAATGTGAGGTATTGCCAGGACCGTACCTGCTACGAGTGAATCATCTTCTCATTCTGTAACCCAGTATATTGTAATTTGTGATGAGTTTCATCAGCAGCCATTTTCTTAGAATGCAAGAATTTTAGTTCATCGATGTTTTCTTGATTGGATTTTAACTGGAAAACAATAATCAGTTGATGGGAATCTTCTCTCGCTTCAACTCCTGGCATTTGAAAGCATAAGCAGCCTCAGTAAAACAAATGCAATTAGCAAACAAGGCCTTCAGTCTGAAAGTGGGGGTTTTATTACTGTAATCAGAGTTGCTATTGAAGCGTAACCCTTGTCTCCTGCCTCAAGTACTTTACAAACATAATTGTGAGGCCATGTGGCTTGACAAAATGTTTTTCAACAACAATTTAAAGGTCAGTGTTTGTTCAACAGAAATTTATCTTCGAGCTGAAGAGTGTGGTGATTTCTAACAGTTTATGGAACAAAACCATGCCAAGCAGCCTGTTAAACTCCAGTGTCAAATATTTTCCAACTTGAATGACTTTCTAAGAAGTTCAACTTCTGCTTTTGACCTGTCTGAAAGCTTTCTGTTTAAACTCTGTAGAAGACGCTCAGGACGCTGTTCACGCCGTTATAGGCTAGCGCAGTTCTCCTGGGACCTCTAGAGCTCAGACATAGGAACTTGCTGCACAGTAACTAACCTGTTGCCCTGCGGTGGGTTGACCCTGGCTGCACACCAGGTGCCCACCAAGCTGCTCTCTCATTCCCCTCCTCAACTGGACAGGGAGGGGAGAAAAATAAGATGGGAAAACCTTGTGGGTCAAGACAAAGGCAGTTTAATAAAGCAAAATGCTGTGCACAGAAGCAAAGAAAAACCAAAAGATTTATTCTCTACTTCCATGAGCAGGCGATGTCCAGTCGCTTCCTGGGAAGCAGGGCTTTGGTATGGAAGACAAATGTCTTCCCCCTTCTTCCTCCTTTCTCTCAGCTTTTATTGCTGAGCAGATGCCACATGGTACGGAATACCCCTGTGGTCAGTTGGGGCCAGCTGTCCTGGCTGTGTCCCCTCCCAAGGTCTTGCCCACCCCCAGCCTACTGCTGAGGGGCAATGTTGTAGAGACAGCCTTGGTGCTGTGCCAGCGCTGCTCAGCAGCAGCCAAAACCCCGGGGCGGCGGCATCCAAAACCCCGGGGTGGTACCAACACCTTGCTCCTACCCATACACAGCCCAGCGCTGAGAGGGCTGCTGGGGGAAAATTAACTCCACCTCAGCCAGACCCAGTACCCCGTGTGGGATCAGCCGATGCAGACAGTGCTCTGTGCACCTGCTTTTTTGCTCATGGTAAGGGACAGGTCAGCAGGTGGCTTCCACGTGCAATGGCCTCTTGCTTGTGTCGGCCCTCTGCCTCGGAGGGCTGAGCTAGACCCAACTGCTGGCTGGGTGGCTGCCATGTGGGTCACTTCTTGTACGTGTCTGTGTGTGAGCCGTGGCTCTTACAAACAGTTCTACATTGCCTTCTTCACTACAGAAGGGGCTGTTTTAAAATTAATATTGAATGACCAGCGTAAGCAATATGTCACATTTTGTACATAGGGGAGTGATGTCCAGTTCCAGGAGGTCGCAATAACCACCACAGGCAGCTACGTTTGTGCCGGGGAAGCGCTGGCCATGATACATCTGTTAAAGGGCTGCCTTTGTTCGGCTCTTTTGTTCTCATCCCTCTCCTGTCTCTCTTAAAAGCTACAGCTGAGAAAATTGCTTCCTGGTTTTTAATTACTTTCTTTTAGGGAAGGAATAAGCTGGCCCCTCAGAAGCGAATTATTCCTACAAGGCACCGATGTTGGAGCAGTGCGAGTTTGTTTCTGTAAGGCGATGGGCAGTTCTGCTGTATGCTGGGAGCATGTTTGTTTTGAGAATGAATGGGGAAGGGAACACTGCATATTAAGAGAAAAAAAAAAAGGCTTCAATGTAGTCAGTAGAAGAAGGAAGATGGTTAATGGGTGAAGCTGTTCGTGGATTCCCTCCATAGAAGACAGTGTCTTGAAAACTGAAAGCAAAGACAAGGGAGAACAAGGCTCGCTGGTATTCAGCAGCTGCTGCTGACAAGAAGTGTTACTGCTCCAGTGCTGCTCTGAAGGGAGCAGACGCTGCCTTTCAGCTCTGAGGTACTTCTGAACGTGCAGAAAGACAAAGCTGTGCTAAAATAAAACTTTTACGTTTCAAGGATCTCTAGCTATGGTCATGCGTTTCCTGGCATGACTTTAGGAAATGAAGGGCTGGTAACACAGTGAGTGTTAATGGTGCAGGCGATGTACAAGGAAGCTGAATTCGCCTTTTTATTTATTAGTGGGTGTCTGTAGTGCAATAATGTTCAATAACTGAACACTGAAATATGTGTGTTGGTAGTTTGTAAACCCTGAGATGTGCATGAAGCATCATTATGATAATTGGCTGATGTGTAGATACAAACTTTCTCTGTTAGAATTCTCTCAGTTTTAATAAACTAGTTTCCAACTAGTTTTAAAATGAAGGTGGGGGGAGTGTATTTTACTTGATGCTTAATACTGATGTATTCATAAATCAGTATTAAAACAGATTCAAAGTGAATTCTCAACTTAAAAGCTCACACTTGTGACATATGCAGAAAATGTCTCAGCTTAAACTTCACTAGAATAATAAAGCTTGTTATCATTTTGGTTTTCAGACCAGTGTTTGGAATAAGAATTACTCTTCTGTTTAGGGCTGTGATTTGTAGGAGCTTTGCTGGAAATTAGCCAGTATAGCATAGCAGGTTAGTTGTATTTAAAAGTGCCTTATTGTAAGGTATTGTTTGTTTGCTCTGTAATACACACTTTATCCATAAAATAATAAAATTAATGGGAGAATAGGGGTTGGGGTTTTTTGCCCTCTGCAAATCTCAAAGTAGCTGTTTTGTGTTTTAAGAAGGATAAGTAAAGCTAGCCAGAGATGTATCAAATGTTTCAAATTATAAAATGCCTTTATATAAAATCATAAATCTAAAACTGTTTTTTCTAGAACTGTGGCAATTATTTTATGGTATTTTTCACAATAAAGATATTTATGATGACAAGAAAGCACTGCAGTGTATTTGTTGGCCCTTCTTTCTTCATCCCACGCTCTGGTTTGAAAGCTAGAGCTGTGCAGAAGTTGCAGTGTAAGGCTGTTAAAACACTGGTTTGGGGGCTAAATTAAAATTTCCTAAGCAGCTAATGCAAGTTGTCAGGCTTTACCAAGTAAGGTATAAAGTGAAGCAGCGTTTTGGTACTTCACGCTTGGGTTTTAAAACTCTGTTTTCCTCCTGTTAGGCCTGGCAGGGCTAGCTCTCGCCTGAGGGTGCAGGCCTCTTGCCTTGCAGCTGAGCCCGTGGCAGGAGCGCAGCGACGTCCTCTATTGAACATGGAGGACGGCATTTGACAAACCGTCCCCCACCAGTCCAGGGGGCCTGGAGCAGGGTCAAATCGTAGTCAGGCTTTCTGGATAGCGGCTGGCCCAGGAAAGCCTCTGGCCCCTCGGTTGTGGGTGGTAGGAGGGGAGAGGAGGAATCCCCTCTGCCCGCTCTCCGGAGGCTGGAACGCGCAGCCAGCGGCTCTGGGGAGAGAAGGTGGGTGGCTGAGGGCGTTGTGGGATGTGCAGGATGAGCGTGCGCTCGGAGCTCTGATTTCTAGGCAGTGATGAAAACTACTTTTAAAGATGGTAAACAGTGATTTTTATTTTTTTTTAAAATGTATATTTTATTTGGTTTTTTTAATCCAGTGAATGTTCCAAGTGGACTGACAAAAGTGCCAGAACTTGGCAGGCAGGTGAGAAGTTGTTGGGCCTGCAGGAGTCCCGCCTTTGCAGCCTCATCTTTATGGCAAGCAGCCACACAGCATCACAACGGAGCCAAAAACATACAGGGAGTATACGGGT